GAGAGAGAGAGAGAGAGAGAGTTTTGTTCTGTTTGTTGATACGAGTGAGAGAGAGAGAGAGAGAGAGACTGAATGGCAAAATTGAAATATGGGTCAAATTGCGGCCGCAATCTATTTTGCAGTTGGAATATATTTTTTTAATTTATTTACCGTACAAGTACTCCAATTTTCAGGTTTTTTCACTCCTGAGCGCGAAAACTCACTGAATTTGGATTGTACTTTTTTCGTCAGCCCAAGCATGGCCAAGTGGCAAAAACCTAGGCTACCAGAGTGGCCCGGGGTCACTTGCCCGGCCGGGCCAAAAAAATGAAAATAAAAAAATTATTTTTTATTTTTAATTTTCATTTTAATTTTGGTGAAGAATTTCGATGTGACCCTGAGGCAAAAGTTGTTCAGTTTATTTTTCTGCATAACATTTGGATTTATTTTTTTGCTGGGACCTCCTTGCACGGGCTGGCCACCCGGGACCCAGGCGGCGCGGCTGGTAGCCTAGGCAAAACTGGAAAATGTGCCGAATCGGCGCGACGATTATTTTGCAGTGTAAATGATTTTTTGTAAATGTTCTATTATTATTTCTGGAAAGAACATGACCTCATCTATTCTCAAAATTTCAAATTTTTGTGCATGTTCGTCTGAGCACAGAAAATCACCAATGTTGCCTCTTGCAAAACGCCTATTTCGTTGTGCTTGACCTCCCTGTTTTGAGAAGACGGGGCTCAATGCTTGGGCCTGAGGGCCCTTTTGCGGTTCACATGCCCTCACTTCTTTTTGGGGTCCGCTTCTACCCGGGATCCGGTCCAATGCCCCCACTTCTTTTTGGGGTCCACTTCCACCCGAGGACCGTTCATCGTTTTTCCAAAAGTCCCGGTTCTACCAGAACTAGCTGTAGGTAGTCCGCAATTTTGCCAAGGACCGGTCCCCCAATTTTTTTTGCCCCTGAAAAACCCACTTGTGTCCTGGTCGCCTGCCGCCAAAAATGCGACACCTTGATTGACACAGACGCAGAAGCCCACTATACCGCAGCTGAATAACCACCATATGTTGTATTCAGGGGTCATTAAATCTGAATGAATATGGGGCATCTTTCAGTCTGCATACAGCTCTAATGACGGCATACGTTGGTTCGTTGTTGTATGCGGAGGAAGAAGAAGGTAGGCCCGTTGGACTGGTGTTGTCCACATGTCACCCCACCCAATCCACAAGCCATTTTCGACGGGCAGAAATTCCAAAAAACAGAAAAAAAACATAACGGAGGACACCATCTCCCCCCCCCCACTCTATCCACAAGCCATTTTCGACAGGCAGAAATTCAAAAAAAATGGAAAAAAACAAACAAAGGAGGACACCATCTCCCCCCCCCCCCCYCTCCCKGCMCCCCYCCCGYCGTAAGGAAACGTGTCACCGTCACAACCTTTGCCCTGCTGTCCSCYCMCCSCCTTGCGCACSCGCAACTGGCAGATATTACAAAAAAAAAAAAGAAAAAAAAAAAGAGGTAATTGACATTCGATTGCGCTCTTTGCACCGCTTTACGCAACCGATTACCAGAATTTACACGTTCATTCGTCAGTCCGCGCACCTCACAAACCAAACCAAAAGAAAAAAGAAAAAAAAAGTAGAACCTTGTAGTCCTTCGGGACATCCGTTAAAATTGGAACGATACACAGAGAGAAGAAGATTAGCATGGCCCATGCGTAAGGATGACACGTAGAAAGAAAAAAAATAATAATAATAAAAAGAGTTCAACCTTGTAGAGCGAGGGGAGGGCTCCAGGGGAGGGGAGGGGGAAAGGTGGTTGGAGGGGGCAGGGGAGGCAAGGTTCCATTCAGAAAACGCTTGACGTCAACATCAATCATTAATTACCACGTTCTGCACAGCTTCTGCGCATTCATACATCGCCACACAACCAAGCCATCATCGGAAGGGCCCAAAAAACAAAAAAAACACATCACGCACGAAAGATAACCAGAAACTAGACATTCATTCCTTAATCCGCCCCCCTCACAAACCCACCAGTAGAAAAAAGTACAACCTTGTAGAGGCGGGGGGCCAGGGGGGAAGGTGGTCGGATGGGGAGGGACAAGGAAGGTGGCAGGGAAGGGAGAGACAGACCACACGAGGCGACGTTCGTTTCAAAAAACGCTTGACGTCAACATCAAGCACTGATTATCATTTAAAAAAAAAAAAAAAAAGCAATGAATATCATGTTCTGTACAAGTTCTGCACATTTCATACATCGCCACACAACCAAGCCATCGTCGCAAGAGCCCAACAGAAAAAAAAATAAAAATAAAAAAAAATCCACGCAATTCTGATTGAATTATCAGTCGCTCTGCACCGATCATATCGCCCAGTCCTCCGGTTGGTCACCCACCCATTGTCATCGTCAAAGGAACCCAGCCCTCAGTAATTCAAGGATTCTTCTAAGTTCATCTAGATTCGAAATGACGTCTGCATTTCAACAGTTTATGGGGTCATATACCGACTGAATTAAAACCTTCTTTGGAGGCATATATATATACCCCCTACCTACCCGTACAAAAACCAACCAACCCAACCATCCATCTGTGCACTACCGACCAATCGTCGACCTAGTATGATGATGTAACGCTGTCTCGTTCCTCACCGATCATGCACCTCATCTTCCTAGCCAATCAATACAATCACGTGATCACCGGATATATTGTCATCGTATCACAAATATATCACAAAAATATATCACATCCGCCAATCACCATCATCCGTCTATCACCACCGACCCTCCGCCGACGACCAGTCAATGCAAGCGGTCCATCAGCAAATTGGTCCATCGCTTCAAAGCGCGGACGATACTCGTGAGCCAACACAGAATATACACAAACATCCCAGCGCTAGAGACGAAGACAACAAGCATCATATCCATGCATGCGTTCGTGCGCGTCATCCTCCTGCCGGGGCCATGCGAATCTTCTTCTTCTTCGCTCTCTCTCTCTCGCTCTCTCTCTCGTTCTCTCTCTCTTTGTGAAAAGTTGTTCCAATCATAACGACGGAGCGCTGACGATGATATATATACCCATTCGCCACCAGCTAGAGACGTAATCAGCAACGAAGGAAGGATATACACACACATCTAAGAGAGAGAGAAGAAAACAAACAAGCGTATCCATGCGTTCGTGCGCGTCATCCTATCCTCCTTACGGAGGAGGAGGGGCCATGCTAATCTTCTTCTCTGTGTGAATTATTTGTGCCAATTTTAACCTCGAGGTTGTTGCGCACTCTGTCGATCGCAGCCGTTCACAGAAAGATCTACCATTTCTCGATTTTTTTTATTTTTTTTTTAATCTGTCAATCAATTGCACCTATTGCCGGTCAATCACGGCCGTCAGCAATAGAATTACGTATGTTCACTTAAGAGTCACTTAAGAGACATCTTCTTCTGAAGACTTTTGCATCTGCAGATTGCGCTGAATGACGTTCCAAGTCAAGGGAGAAGATGAACGGAGCGCCGCCAAAGACACAGCCCACCACGCTGGACCTCTCTTCACTCGGCCAGCTGTCGTTTCCCTGACGCGACCGCAGCTGTCATGTTCCTTCCCTCCCATACCGATCGATCTGCTGGGACGATCAATCGGGATCGGGACCTGAAGTTTTGCTGCATCTCTATCCACTAAGAGATCGACGTTCCTCCTCCCTCCCCGCCCTTCCACTACAGGATCGATCGGTATTGAGAGGGGGGGGGGGGGGAAGGAGGATGGATCGGTACCGGGATCGGGTCCTTTCCACATGTTCTTCCTTCGATTGTCACATATTCTTCCTTAGATTGTGCACTCCGATCATTTCCGTCCCAACCTCCGCGCTGCCGTTCCGCAACCCCCATCTCGCCCCCCTCGTTCTCACTCCCAACTTCCGCCCTCCCCTCCCCTCCCCTCCCGCCCACCCATTTAGTCCCTCCCTTTCTCACTCACACATACCCTGCCGAAACATCAACAAGAAACACAATTCCCACCCATTCCCCGCGACCTCCTCCTCCTCCTCCTCCTCCTCCTCCTCCTCCTCCTCCGCACAGCTCCGTGGCTCTGCACGCCCCACCAATGGCGCCCCCCCCCACCTTGTCCCCTCCTTTCCCACTCACACAAACCCTCCACTGATAAAATCTTCATGCCGAGACGTCAACACGAAACACACAGTTCCCACTCATTCCCCACAACCTCCTCCCCCTCTGCACAGCTCCGTGGCTCTGCGCCCCACCAATGCCGCCCTCCCATTCCGCCCACCCATCTCGTCCCCCCCCTTTCTCACTCACACAAACCCTCCCCTGATAAAATGTTTCAAGCCCTTCCACCCCTGATAAAATCTTTCAAACCGAGACGTCAACAGCAAACGCACAACTCCCCCCCTAATTCCCCGCAACCTCCTCCTCGTCCTCCTCATCCTCCTCGCAGCTCCATGGCTCTGCGCCCCCAAACACACACACACACACACACACACACACACACACACACAACAATTACCCCGCCAGCCGCCCCTTCACACCCCTCCGCAGATTCCCCCCCTTTCACACCCCTCCGCAGATCCCCCTCTCCAAGAACCAATTTTTCACGATCGATCGATCGATCGATCGAAACCCGCCACAAACAAACGGTTCGTTTAAATCATTTTTCATGTACATGTATACATATACAAAACGACGGGCTCCGCAACAAGCAAGCGCTCGAGAGACTGGCGCACAGCTTTCCGTTCTTAGCAAGCTCTGCCATCCTCCCCACTGCATATATCCTCATATATATTCCCTTGTATAAGGTGGACAACAGCGCAAATCCTACTCACGCGCTGCCCAATATCCAGCATTCACTTCGCTGGAAAACACTGTACATTCATTATCCCATTCATTATCCCACGTAATGGACCTCTGCACCTACCACGCCGTACAATATGTGACATCTTCTCGCACACAACGCCGCCCGTCTGCCGCACGATCCCACACACTAATGCCGCACACTGATGCCGTACGATACGTAACTTCTTTTCCCGCACAACGTCGCCCGTCTGCCGAATGCTGCCACACACTAGTGCCCCACATTGACGCCGCACACTGACGCCGTTCCATAGGTAACTACTTCTCGCACACAACGTCGCCCGTCTTCCGAACGATGCCACACACTGATGCCGCAATTGATCCCCCACACTGATCTATGGATGCCTGCCATCATACGATGCCGCCGTACAACGCCGCACACGGATGAATGAAAGTAAACCGAAGAAGTTCTTTTCAAAACGACCGACTCCGGACGCAACGTAGTCGATGAACATGAAGCAATCAGAGGATTTTCTACACATTATACATAATAATAAACAGATTCACCACAACTCTACAAATATACACCCATCTACCCCTTCCTCCCCTTAATCGTCCTCATCTTGCTCTCTCATTTCTCTTTATGTGCGTTTGCCTCACTTCAACAGCTCTACCAAAACTCTCTCCTCTCTCTCTCTCTCTCTCACACACACACACACACGCACACACACATACACAAAATCCACACGCGGGTACGTAAGTTTTGGGCAACTTGCAGAGTGGACGCTCTCCGCTACCCAATTCCCAACTTCAACTCGCACACATGATTAGTGCCCCGATCCCAAAGCAAGGCAAGGTATACGGCCTTCTTTTTTTTTTTTAATGGTGAAGAGGAACCAGCACTCAGATGAAAATTAATTTTCTTGCGCTCCATGTGGTAAGGGGCTCTACGTGGTAATGGTGCGAAATCTTGTTTCGCGCCCCGGAATGCCCCTTCTCTGCATGGCTGATAGCTCTGACTTCTGCACTGCCGAACGTTGACTTTTGCATGACTAATCGTTGACTTTTGCATGACTAATCGTTGAATTCTGCATGATGATCGTTGAATTCTGCATGATGATCGTCGACCGGAAAGCTATAGAGCCATCACCACTGACAGTTGGCCGAACTTTCCCTTCCCGAACCGAATGTTGCCAGACCCGCCACGCAACCTTGTCAGTCATTCGCTTACGTTGCCGTGCAGAAACCGTCCCTCACCTGCCACGTGGCTCATCCCGCCATATTCTCGAACTCTGTCTCCGTTACCCTGCCACGTGGATTTCTCCCGCCATCTTCCGCCGCAGTCCTCATCGGCGGTCTTCGCTCCACGTGGATTTTCCCGCCATCCCCATCATTGTCCTTCACTGCGCGTGGCTTCTCCCGCCATCCTCATCCTCCTCCTTTACTCCTTGGGGCTTTCTCCCGCCATCTTCGTCAAGTTCCATGTCCCTCTCCCGACACCTTAATCACCTGCCACGTGGCTTTCTCGCGCCATCCTCAGAGTCCTTCGCTCCACGTGGCTTCTCCCGCCATCCTCGTCATCGTCCTCCACTCGTGGCTTTCTCTCGCCATCTTCATCATTTGCCACGTCGCTCTCCCGCTACCATCGTCAACTGCCACGTAGCTCTCTCCCGCCATCCTCAGTATTGTCCTCCTATCGTCGCTGTCCGGAAAAAGTTGTTCCTGCCCTTCTCTCCTTGAACTCTCCTTGAACTCTCCTCGGACTCTCCTTCTGAGTCCAACTACAACGTGCGCTTTCGTGTGCTCTCTTCAACCCTTAATTACATCACCGCTAAACTGCTACCGTCTTTCCCCGAACAACACGCAACCTCATGTACACTTATTATCAGCATGCGTTATGTTCAGGAAAGACAGCAGGCTACTTTCGCGCGCCATCTTTTTCCAGTACGCTCAGCAGAGAATCCCCTCATACCAAGCGCTTTCAGCTTTCATCCCAACAAATCCGACGGCGAGAGTCACGTGGTCTCCGAAGCGCTATCAGCTTTCATCCAAACAAATCCGCTCCCACCTTCAGCACATTAGACACGGTCGCTACGTAACTCTCGCCGTCGGATCCATCTCTTCTCATGGACTAGCTTGCCACAAGCAATCTGCCCATACCCGCGCACTCAGATCCACCTTCTTCCCGCCTTCAAGATTGCTATACACTACCTAAACCCTCTCTCTCTCTCTCTCTCTCTCTCTCTCTCTCTCTCTCTCTCTCTCTCTATATATATATCGTCAAATAGAACTGCCCGGTAAACCGTAGGCAGAGAGGGAGAAGAGGACAACAAACGAGGGGCTGTGACAAACTGTTTCGTCGGAGTTTATATATATATATGTGTGTGTGTGTGTGTGTGTGTGTGTGTTTGTGAGGTGGGGTTCGACTTTCATTCATAGTTCGTCAGCAACCGAGAATGATGTCGGGATCGCAACAGCACTCAAACAACCAGCAGCAGCAGAGAGCGGCAAGACATCCCTGCAGAAAACCTCTGTCCTGTGTCTGCTGCGACTGCACGGGCGGAGCGACGACTGGAGGCCCGCCATAGTACTGCCCTGGCTGAGGAGGAGGATAGCCGGCGGCATACCCCGGTGCTTCTGGGTATCCCGTCGGAGCTTTGTACGGCTGCGCGTACACAGGCTGACCTGGATACGTACTCATCCTGCTCCTTCACTATCAAGAAATGAGAACAGGGAAAATCGACAAACAGGCCAATCACCACCTCACCACAGTACACTCCCGAATTCGGTGACGTTAGAAATTCAGGAAGCCCACAGCAGTTAGCCCCTGGCTATGGAGGAAACCGAATCACAAGCTGCCCAACTCATCCAAAGCCTCTACCACGAAAAACAAGAAGACGCGCCCTCTCTCTCTCTCTCTCTCTCTCTCTCTCTCTCTCTCTCTCTCTCACGCACGCGCTCGGACGACTGGCTCTTGTACTCGAAGCAAGGCCACCTTCAGGCAGCTCACGGGCCGCACGTTTCCTTCTCCACAACCTGTGTTCTGCGGAGCAATCTTGATTCCTCCTCTATGTGATCTTTAAAAACGATTGTCTAGTATGGATCGAGATGCCGCCGTCTGTCGATAGAGAAGCGGACGTCCGCGACCCAAAGAAGTCCGAGAGAGCGTTGTTGACGCGCCGAAAACCCGTTGAGACGAACCCTTGGGAATATCGACCACCACCTCTTTCCCGCCTTCAACCGCTCGCTCTACACGGCGGCTACAAATGACTCGCGAAGGGATAGCGCACCGCTGCTGCTACTGCTACTGTGTGTAAAGGACACGACTATACGTTCCGCGAGCAGAACTCCGACGAAGACTGACACGGACAATGATACTCATCTCTGCCGCGCATTTACTTGGTTTGTGTATTTATATTCCCTCTCTCAACGCATGACATGCGGCCTCGCCACCCTAGAAAACTCCCGAACGTTCGAAGACGCGAAAATCCATTTTCGCCACACTGCACTCCCGACTTGGGGCGCTCTCCGATTTCGACGCCAGGAGACGCACTTCAGACCGAGACCGTCCAGCACTGTCCAGCACGTGGCGACGAAAACTGTGAGGATAATCCTTGTCTGCGCACGAGTTTCTCCGGCCTAAACAGAGGCCTCCTCAAGAGCTCACGCGAAAATGGCCTGTCACAGGCCGGAGGCTCAAGCGATTTCGAGAGGTCTGGCCAAAATGGCCTATGGCCTTTTGCAGGAAGGATGCTCAAGCGATTTCGGGAGTGCTCTCGGGACCCTCATTGGGCCTCGCCACACTACTCCCGACTTGGGGCCTCACCCCACTACTCTTAAAACTCGTTTTCATGAGTTGCTACACAGCCACACAGCCACACAGCCTCTTGAAACTTGGGGCAGTCAAGAGCAGTCAGACTCAGAGTGGCTCTTGAAACCCTTTCAAGAGCAGCTCTTGAAAGATTGGAAATCCCAGCCTGCAACTCGTGCGTTTCCAAGCGCGTCCTTGGCCGAACCCTTGAGGGGCTATTGATTTTGGGCCGTTATCCTGACGCCATTCAA